TCTTGGCTTTTCCAATTGATGCCTGTAAGTAAAGGCACAGTCCAGAGGTGCTAATTAAGATTGAAGACCTTGGTAAAAGCTGTTTGAGTGCTCAGTATAATAAAAAGTATTATTGTTATTATTCAGATCTTTGGGAGCGACTCACCTTTTGTTCTTTTTTCCACTCTGAAGTCTTTTGATGTCACTATCTCCTCCCTGACTACTGCAAACAGAAATTTTGGACAGGTTAGTTAAACTTTGACATCCTTCTCCTGTACGTTACTCTGGAGTGAGGCCAAATGCACACAGGCTTCTTGTTTGTATACACAACTACGACAGCCAAATACTCACTTCCTTAGTCTTTCCTCCTCCTCCTCTTCTTTTCTGTTGCGCACCGGCAGGCTGCACGGTTGACAGCTGTGATGGCTCTGGTCGTCGACGAGAGTGGAATTTAATGAGCACTATGAAGTCTCTTTCCCATTGCAGAAAGTGGTCTGCTCATTATCCATCAGCTCTCCTCCAAACGGACACACTTCCATCAGAGACCAAAAGAGGGGTGTAAATACAGAAGGGTTCCGATATGAGATTCTCTCCTGCAGTTTGACCAAAATGGACCGAGCGGCGCTGTGACTTGCATTCACTTAGAAATAAGGACTTCAAACTCCTCTTTTTTTCCTAGTCTAATTACTAATGATGGTGTCTTTGTTGCACGTTTCACACAGATTGCATCAGAGGAGGATTGCAGCTCAGTAAGTTAGTTACAACTTTTTTAAAAGAGTCAGTGGGGATCAGTAAAGTCACGATTATACATCTAGTCGTGGCCACCAGATCGTTAGATTCAACTGGAATCACTTAAAACTGATCTCTCACTCATCTCCTATATAGTTTTTTTTTTTTTTTTTGTTGTTGACACCCCCTCTCTGCTTTCTCTCCCACGTTTCTGTTCTTGCCTCCCCTTGTGTGTCTCCTTTCTGGGAGGCATCCTGCTGACACTCTCCAAGGAGTCTTATTGATATGCTTAGAGAGGCATTGCAGACGGAGAGAAAGGGAGGAATGAAAGTCACAAACTGCAGCAGCAGATTCACCGCTTTCCTTCTAGTACCATCAACAGTAAAAATCACAACTCCCCCTCAGCAGGGAGCTCACAGCTCTTTTTTTGTCTTCTGCACTAATACCACGTCTCCTGAATTTGGACTGTAATTACTCTGTTGTGTGAGGATTTACTGTCTTTTGAGCTGATGTCTAATTAATCATGGGGCTTCTTGCACGTGGAGAAATATATCCCAACTATTAACTTTCGTGACATAAATGGGACACTTAAGCAAATGTTTTGTTTTTACTGCTGCAGTCACATGTGACAGTATTTTATCTATGTGAGACTCAACGACAGAAAATCGATTCCAACTGTTGAGTCTGGGTTCTATTTCTGACATACTGAAGCCATTTTTCTTCTATTCATATGTCATTTTCTGAAGTTTTGTGCACTCATATCAAATGTATTGTTTAATATTATATCAGCATAGGAAGTGATTTACTTTGAGTTTCAGCTGCAGTGGAAAACATTACACATCTGATTTAGCACACAAACATAATTTAGGACAAAAGAGAAAAACATTAATTGATTGGTTATCCAAAAAATGTATTTTTTCTTCTCAGCCTCTGTAATATGTTGGTTACATAAAAGATCTGCAGATGTCACCTTTTTCTTGCGGGAAATCATTGCTCACCATTTTCATGAATTACTAAAATCAGTTGGATTTTTTTTTTGTTTTTTGGATTTTTAAATCCGACTTTAGTGGTATTTTTAAAGAAACGACCCTAAAGTTCATCAGATGTTACAGTGATGATTACATGCACTCTCTCTAAATCCCTCAAATATTTTGATGCCTAATTTTCTTTGTGAAAATCATCTTTCCATAGGAGCAAATAGAAATTTTAATGATGAACCAACATGGTTTTAATTGGTACAACCAAGTGTAGGACAAGTTGTCAAGTTTATTAAGTGCTGGTTTGGTGAGAAGCTGTTTTTTACTTGTTCTTCTGGAAATACACTTAGTTTCACATGCAGGCTGAAGGTGCTTCTGGCTGGTGAAAGAAAATGGATGGGAAACGCTTGAGTTAGAAAAAGCCACACAGATGTACATCACACTGTAAATTAACCGTCATGGACTCTCCCATCTTGGGACCAGGAGAGAGCAGAGCATGTCTCGGCAGGTAGAAGCTAACCATTAGCATTAGCAACTCTACAACATGAATTGTTGTTTGTGGAGATAAATCATCAGCGTTGCAGAGCAAACTGAGTCTCTCAGTGTGTTTACGTGCCAATCATATAACTGAACTTTAATGATGAATTTAACCGTAACTCATTCACTGCCAGCCGTTTCCTGATCAGAAAAGCCCTTCGCTGCCAGAGTTTTTTTTTAGCGTTTTCACTGTTTTTTAAGTCACAGAACATTCTGCTCTATGATGATGTCAACACCAAAACAAAGAGGAGGCTCACCTCTTACATCGGGAAGAATCCGCGCGTTTCGAGCGTTATCCGTTCTTTCATAATCCGTTGTCGAATTGTGATCGGCAGAAGCTTTTCCGGTTAGCACCTCATTTTTTTTACAGCAGTGGCCCAAAACGATCTATGGATTTTCTGTTTCATGATCATGTGACGTGTGATGTACGCGGATAAAGTTCGGCTTCAGAGCTGGGATGTTTGTTTACACGGTGCGGGGGACGCCAACACGGGGGGGGGGGGGGGGGGGGGGGGGGAATGCAATTGACGACTTTAGTTTTTTTGTGACTTTTTTGTAGACATTTTTTTGACAGTGAAAGGTTGGATTTAAAATGACTTTTGTCATCAATGACAGTTAGTGAGTTAAATAGATTAACGTTGTTTTTTTAAATTCATGTAAACACGTTAGTCTTACTGAAGGTAGACTGGTTCTAACCGTGCTGAAGCACTCTAATGATGCGGTAGGAAACAGACTGCATCTGCACGTAAACGGGTCGGTCGAAATATCGCCACAAAGTAGCAAGTCTAACACCTTCAAACATTACAGTACCAAATAAGCTGTGCTGCAGCGTTGTTGTTGTCCATTTCTTCTGCCATTGTGCATATCCTATTTTAACTTCGTCTGCTACACTCCAGCTTGCGTTTGTTTACTATTTGTATTCCCAAGCTAACAGGAAGAATGGCGACACTAAAGAGTGCACGTCGCCACCTACTGTACCAGAGTGGAACAAACTTCATTGGAGGGTTGGGTTTTCTAGCGTATATGCAAACTAGGATTAAGGCCCCCAGTTTATTACTTCAGATCAACCTAGATAGACAAAGATGCACATGAAAGTACACTGAGTGGTTGAGTCACGTTGCTGTTAGCCAGTCAGTGGCGAGATTTCCGGATATCAGGAATAATAAAAAGAAACACTCCATATTCTGCCGTTTTCTGCTCCTCACCTCCTGCTAACTTATGCTTCCTTAAAAAGAGCACTAGAGCTTTTTCTCCATAGAGAACAGCACACAAGACATTAATTTATACCAAGACTACTGCAAATGTATTAAAATAATGAGTTTAGCTTTAAACTCCAAACAACATTTGAAGTTACTACATGTCTGTTTTTTATTTTTGAGCCAGATAAATAATGCAAGAGTTGTTGAATACAAATGTTTAAAGGACAATTTGACTTCATGAACAAAGCATATTCTCAAAGGGACCATTGTTATGTTGTCCTGTAATACTAGCAAGTACACACCAGGTCTAAATACTTAGTATGATGGACCCAGAATAGTTTCTCACAGAGAAAGGTGGAAAATGGCTTTATACCTCCACCTCTAGTGTTTAGACGATGGGGAAAAGCACCACCACCTCCATTCAGTGTTCATCTAAAATCTAGATTTGCGTCTGCAAAGGCTGCAAATTATGATTCACATTGTTTTTGTGCTCATTAAACCATTTACGGAGCCTTTGTAGACTGATTCATGGTCATCCTTGAAGAGTCCAGTTCAGCAGGAAAGAGATGTTTCATCAAAGGATGGGGTTGATCATTAAAAAGTTGATTTGCTCTGAGCCTTCCCTCGGAGCGAAAGGGTGCACCTAAAACATACCAATGAAAAAGCTCGCATGGTGCATCTGAGCTTCGGTAGGCTCTGAACACTCCAGAAAGCGCAATCTTGTTTCTTTTTTTGGTAGTTTTGTAAAACTACATCTTTGACTTGGTTGACATGAGAAGAGTAGCCCTTTACAAAGCCTCCCTCTCTCTGTGACTCTCATTCTTCTGCGATGGAATAGAAAGGCAGGCGGTGGTGGAAAACTTCTTTTTGTTGCCTGTTTTTTTGTTTGCGTACTCTCAGGTGATCCTTGGAGACTTGTGAAGGTTAGCTAGGGAGTGCGCCGGAAAATAGATTTGTTTTATCTTTTCTCTTTTATTTTTTAATGCAGACTGTATAAACCTGCTGTGAGAGCTGGCAGTGACCTCCTACTATTCATGAGCTTTTTATCAAGGTCTCAGACTGTCACAGAGTCACCTCACTTGGCAAGCAAACACAAAAGATTGCACATAAAAATCAAGCCCTACACACACACATACGGTTGGTTTGATTTGGTTGTGTGTGTGTGTGTGTGTGTGTGTGTGTCCTGCTTACCAAACACGCAGACCATGTTCTCTGGGTGGATTCAGCTGATGAGGCGTCCAGATTACATGGCTGCACTGTAGTTGACTTTACTCCTACACGCATAATGACACATTCTTCTTCTAACTACCAAGCCAGAGGGGGTGCTGGGACTAATTTGACAGCTGCCACGGCTCATTATCTGATAAAAGAGACACTTCTTGGCCCCACAGTTGAAGCAGTATCAGTGTAGATGTTATTCGTAATAACCTCACACATCGCGGGCCGCCAAGGCAATGCATGATCAAAGTGAATATCTAAGAAAAAGCTTTTTACATTTCTGATTATAAGTCAAACAGAAGCATCTCCTGATTTAACCTTTAACTAGCGCCGCTGTCCCTTTTGTCTCAACCCCCCACAGACTCGAGCATGGACTCCTTCAGCACCAAGAGCTTGGCCCTGCAGGCGCAGAAGAAGCTGATGAGCAAGATGGCCACCAAGAGCATGGCCAATCTCTTTATAGACGACACCAGCAGCGAGGTGCTGGACGAGCTGTACCGCGTCACCAAGGAGTACACGCGCAACCGCAAAGAGTCGCAGAAGATCATTAAAAACCTGATCAAGATGGTGGTGAAGCTGGGAGTGCTCTACAGAAACAACCAGTTTAACAGTGAGGAGCTGATCGTGGTGGACAACTTCAGGTGAAGCCGCGTCTGTTTTAAATGATGAAACGATCAGTTTAGTGTTTCATCAAGCTCTTAAAGATGAAAGCTTCATATTATGATTGTTTCACTCAAGCAGGCCTGGCTGGAGTTTTACATCGTGTCGTGTTTCAGGAGTTGACAGACCTTGGGAAAGAACAAGCTGGTTGTTTTTTTATGAGAAACTGCAGCATAAGTGATTTCTGTGTGCTGATGGAAGCAGCTTAATGAAATTGACTTTAATACATCAGTTTGTATATTTTTCACTAAAACAGTTAAAGTCAGCTTGGAGGCCCGTAGGAGCCGATATAAGTGTTCGGTCTGGAGGATGTGGATTGTGTTAGCGTGGAGACGTGTGGCTGTGCAGAGCAGAGCTGCAGCTACTGTATGAGATGCTGTGAAAGTTTTCTAAAGAAAATCACAAGACAGCAGTTTCTATTTTTACTTCCAGTTGCTGCTCTGGTCAGAGTTAGAAATGTGACAGCTCTTCTCTCTTTCTCTCTCTCTCTCTCTCTTGCCATCTCGCAGGAAGAAGGTCCACACTCTGGCCATGACGGCGGTCAGTTTCCACCAGATCGAGTTCACCTTCGACCGCCGTGTTATGAGCTCCATTTTGAACGACTGCCGAGAGCTGCTGCACCAGGCCATCAAACGCCACCTGACGGCCAAGAGCCACTCGCGGGTCAATCACGTCTTCAATCACTTCGCCGACTGTGACTTCCTGGCGGCCCTGTACGGGCCCTCCGAGGTCTACCGGGCCCACCTGCAGAGGATCTGTAACGGGGTCAATAAGATGCTGGACGAGGGGAACCTCTGACCTCTGTGTGTCTCCACTTCAGGCACGTTTACCTCTCATCATCCCTTCATGTTGGATATTCTGTTGTTTTTCTTTTTTTTTTTAACGACAATCATGAACATTTGTACTTTTTATGTACTGGTCTGTGGTGCTTTCCAGATACTGTAACACCGATATTCTCTTCCTACATTTATCCAAAGACTGCTCCTTAAACAACCTGTTTGGTTTTCTGTCTTTTATATAAATGAATGTAAAACTTTATGCTCTTATCAGTATATTCACGAGTAGGAGCCTTGACAACTGTGCCTTGAAACACATATTTTATCGTTTTTTCCAAGGACTCCTTGGCTCTTTTCTTTTGTTAAAACCATAAATCAAGGCACAAGCCTTCAGGTTTTATCTTTATTATGTGTCTGTTAGGGACATGCACCTAGAGAGGGGGAAATTATCTAGCAAGGGTTTTGGAGAAGTGATTATTTCTTTATGTTCTTCTAAAAGTAGTGTTGCACTTAATCCTGAACAAGCGCTGTACTGTACCTCCCTGCAGTAATGATACCATGTGAGGCACAGCTGCTGGCTAATCCTGCTTAGCCTGCATTTTGCCGCTCTCACCACCACCGAGCATTGATGTTCGGAAAGAGAGGCCAGGAGTTTATTTATAAGGCAAATTGTAATGGTCTGTTTTCTGGCTGTTACAGGAAACAAAGTATTTGGGTTAAAGGACCAGAAATATGAAGGTATTTGTTTGCGCTGTCGATTACTTTGAGTTGTGTTCTCATGAGGCCAGTAATCATCACACTGGGGAAGCAGCATGACTTGGCAACAGGTGTGAAGCTTGCTCGGGCATTTTTATCAAAGGGAAATTGATATAAGCTGAAAGAAGTTGCCATAAAAGATGTTTGAGCCCAGGGCAGCCTTCGATTCATCCTAAAAGCACAAAAACTCTGGTTCTGATTCCGTCAGATCTGAACTAAAACGACTTCCTGCGAGCCATCAGATGAAAATCTGGTGGAAAGCGTGACTCCTCGTCTGTGTAGAGGACTGGGATAGGTATAGAAAACCAGAGCAGAGACAAACACGCAGCAACCTCTCAGCAATTACAGCTCCCCACTCCGAGGTGCCATAATGGCCTGGAGCTTGCCTCTGTCGAGCAGCTACTCCATGTCCCCACGTTGCAGCCCCACGTGATGCGACGGCGGTAGCCGTCTCCGTTTGCACGGACCAGAAGTGAACGATGCTGTTCCTCCTCTTTATAAGTGGTGTGTGTAGAGCTACAACTATCCCTCTGTAACCTCACGCCCTTCCTTTTTGTCAATGTGCTTTTTATCACCGACTCTCTGAGAGATTGTTTCATGCTGCAGCCTCATTTTGTATTCTGTGTGTGTGTGTGTGTGTGTGTGTGTGTGTGAGAGAGAGAATTGGAAATTGAGCCATGTAATAAGTGCTGTGCTTCCCCAGAAAGGATTGCTGAAACTAACTTATTCCTCAGCAGCTCAGCCAAAGAAATAGGAGGGATGTTATTCAAAATGCAGTCCCTTTCAGAATAATGTTACCCACCTGCTAATCGCTAATGCGCTCTTGATAATAAAGATGGTGACTTGGGTTTTCAGCCTGTTTTTACTCGCTTTTTAAATATTTAGAGGACTTGCTGGACTAAAGTCTTGTTAGCTGGAGCTGTTTGACTGCATCATTTTGGAAAGCTTTGAAGTAAATCCTTCCCCTCCGAAGAGTCGGTTTTAATTGTCTTTCTGTACTTTTTACTCCATTCACATCTCAGGGATAGCTTAAACCTAAAAGTGTAAAATGTGCTCTGAAACACCACGAGCCACTGCATCAGCCTGACTTACTTCTCTTACACGCCCACACTTAAGGTTCTCTTCGTGTTGCTTTTGGACATTTGTGAATTATTTTCTTTATGTACATACAAATGTTCCTTTGTGCCTCTGTATTGTATTCCTACATGACAAATATGTTACATGCTACTTTTTATAAAATGACTAAACCTTTGTCTGTTTTTATTTATGGCTTCAGTCATGCCCTGTTGTCTTTTCCAATCAGTGTGTCGGATGTCAGAGATTTTTTTTCCGGCCAGATCGGGACTGACTAATCTGAGTGTCTGACCTGAATTTAGTCGGCCAAATCCCTTCCTGCTCTCCGCATTGTTGGGAAGCCACAGAAGAAAACACAAACCCATCTGACTGACAAACAGCTCGGGTCAGTTCTTTCCACTCGCCAGTCCCTTTTCGCTGCGTAAATGGTCAAAGGTAGAGCAGGAAATGAGTAATCTGGAAAGACTTTGTGCTTCTGTTTTGGGATATTTAAACATCCAGCTGAGCTGCAGTTTAATTCCAAGCCCCCTGTGTATACTCTTTTTGGCTTTAATGTGCTCCGCTACAGTTTTGAAACTTTTGGAACGATAATACGGCTCATAGGATCGTTAGTGTACATCAAAGCCTGCTGCAAAGCTGTGTTCATTTATCTTCTTGTTGGATCATTATGTCAACATAAATGTCTGTGCACGACTTCAGAGTGCTGTATTGATACACCTGTGTGTGGTCCTTTCCTCAAAGTAACGTCAACCTGAAAATGTTGTGCTTGTTTGGTTAAAGTTTTCAGGATTCGCCGTGTGTCTCAATCATTTCACAAAAATGAACATTTCTTGATGACAGTCACGATGTGATTATCCGAGGATGTGAAGGGGACTCTTAATAGATTTTTTTTTTGTTGAAGCTAGCTTCCAGTGGGGTATAATTATCATTTCTACATAATGAAGTGAGTACAAATGAGGCGGCCTGCATTCTGAAGAGGGAGACGTGCCTTGCAGCTTCATTCCTCTCACGTTTGGTCATTTGAGCTTAGGCAAAGGGATGTTTTGGCCACTTTGAAGTGTGTTTCTGTGAGGAACATAAATAATCTTACTCGTCGTGGTTCACTTCCAGACCTTCCTCTGCTTTGGGAAATGGAGATTGTGCCTCACAGAACTACGAGTCTGAGCCAAGATCAAAGTGTATTGTTGCCAACTTAAAGTGCCTCAGATCTCCAATTGTTCTCTGCAATTAATGTTACACAACTTTTTTTAACCATTCCACCACCTTTAACTTTGTATCACATGGAATTACGAAGTCAGTTGTTTAGTAACATTCCCTTCAGGGATCATACTAGGACTAGGGTATTTGGTCGGACCGGGACTTGTGGTTAACTCATGATGATTAGTTGTAACTCAGGAGAATAAATGGCCTGTTTTTGTATAGCACCTTCTTAGGGTTCTACAACCCCCCAAGGCGCTTCACACCACAACCGGTCATCCGCCCATGCACACGCTGGCGATGATGAGCTGTGATGTAGCCTCAAGACTGCTGAACACTGGCGGCGCCGGTCCCCCCGCCCCCGACCATCACCAGAAAATATCAGCACTTATTACCAAAAACTGGCTTTTGTAGAATTGCTATAGTAGGAAAAGCCAAAAAAAAAAAAAAAAAGCAGCAGCATTCATGCAGCTTCATAATTGCAATTTCTAAACTATAAACCAATGTTGAGAATGCAACTGAAATTCCTCCAAAATGATGTCATCTGGTCCCATTGCGTTTGAGGTCACAACCACGGTCCTCCTACCTTGAATGGATTTTATTATAGCTTAATTTGACAGAATGAAACTTCTAATGTCATTGATGCCCATGGACCTTAACATGCTGACCAGTGACATCAGTCACTGACGAAGCGGTCGCGATTTGCTGAGGTCTTAGCAAAGTCCTGAAAGGTCCACCTTTGTATGGAGACAACAGCTAAGAGGACCAAGCCATTGCGTTTTCCTTGTCACCTTCTCCTTTCCCAGAATTTTGCCTGAACTCCTTGATGGGAAACATGGCTATAGAGTAATGACACTCCGTTAAAGCTGCATTGGCAAATGTGGAAAACAAATGAGCTTGAAACATATTTTCATGCCTCTTAACAACATTCTAACATAGCATAGCTATTAATTTATTGTGGAGATTAAAAAGAAAAACGAAAATAATTAGTGATTCTCTTGCATTTGTCTAAAAGCCTCCACCAATAACACGTCTCGGACTGAAAGCAACTAACGGACCATCCAGTTGTTAGTCCTCTCAGAACCGTCGCACTTCCCTGGGTCTTCCGTCTGTTACGCACTTGCGTATTTAGCAACAGAACGCCGATGTGAGAAGTTCAGGGCTCAGTAATAGGAGAGGAGAAACAGTTGGCTACTACCACTTCAAATTCAGGACAAACCAGAGTCCCAATAGAAAAGCTTCATTTGATGTTAAAGACAACAAAAAACAGCCACTGGTGTTTTGCGCAATTTTTTTTTACTGTGGCAATGCGGGTCTCCAGCTCCCGCAGAATCGTCTCAAGGAAGATACCCAAGGGGAGGGGTGAGTGTTCAATGATCGTGTTTGCGTTCAAAACCTAGCTTGTTTGCAGATTCGCTATAACAGCTTTAAATATTTTATATTGATATTAAGCATCAAGTATATTTTATGGCTTTATACAAAACATATTTACTGACCACCGAACTAGCGGTCATGTCTAACATAAACTCCATTTTTCCAAATGGAGGTCTTTCAGGAAGCTTTTGATGGTTAAAGGCACACTTGGCAGTTTAGCATGTTTTTAGCACACCCTCCTCCGTTATTAATTATCTGGTCAAACCAAAAATGAAGCATATCTCCTCACTGTGAGTTCAGCTTTTTAACACCTTCATCTAACAGCTGAAATGTCTCACCAGCCTTCATTTCTACAGGAGTGATTCATCACTAAATTAACAAATCAGCTGTATTCACGATCTAAAGCATACAGGAAACATGCTGGAAGTAGACTGCAGCGCCGGGTATGTCCCAACAGAACAGCCCACCAGTCTGAAGAAAATGATTTAAAACATGAAAAGTTGCGTAGAGTGGCTTTAAGAGTTATTGTTTCGAACTAGAAAGGTACTTGAAAACGGGCAAAATTTCCCATAAAACTAAAGTGGTGGGTCACATTTGTCATCAACACATATCAAAGATGTCTCCCTTTCATGCGCCATTTCTGTGAGGAAGGACAAACTGAGCAGGACTTTTCACGGTCCATCCATGTGAGGATCCAGTTAGTTTTGGCATAAATCTGCAAAGTCTGGCTGCAAGTCAATGCGGGCACAAATAATCCAATGTTTGAGCTCTGGGTGGTGCAACAAAACAAACCACAGGACATTGTGTTCAAACAGCAGGCAGCGGTCGACACTTTCACATCAACTCTCATCCATACTTCCAGATTTTTTCTTTAACATCAAGGCCAAAAAAGAAATGGGGCCTTTTGGGCTTTAAAAGAACTGGGAGTGCAGTCTAAAGAAGAGAGGCTCATATGAAAAGGGGGCTGAATGATTCAACTGCTTGTTTCTTTAATGTTTTTCAAAGACTACAAGCTGATGTTCACATATTTGTTTATTTGTGATGCAGCTTAAAGTGAAAGCAGATTTATATTTAGTCATCTTTTTTTTTTTTGTTCCTCATTTCTATGGAAATCAACATGTCCAGGCCATCGTCCCAAACTAACAACTGCATCCACACTTTCTAAATCTCATTACAGAGCGGGCGCCGTTGCTGTAAAAAGGAGAAGCCCCCTTTTACATGAGGCATTTGCTGACATTTCAAGTGCCTCCAAATTTTTTCTTAACACCAATCTCATGTAGGTTAGCTGGCAGAGCGCAGCCGAGTGTCTGTGCTGCTTATTATGTATTACTTTGCTTTTGTAGTCCCTCCACATCGTTACTCATCCAGTATGCTTAAAGGTGCTCTCCCCTCTGGCAAGCACAACTATGACAGTCAGCTTTGGAAGTTAGAAGTCTTTCAAAAAACTCTGCCTTTTCTCTGTCTCTCTTCTACTCGTTTTCGTTGTCCCTCATGTGTCTCTCTTCCTTTCTCACTCTCTAGTCCTCAGAGAGCACCTGACTGACGTGTTGTTCAAGGATGAAAAGCACAGCGGAGGAGAGATCCAAAAGCAAACAAGTAAAAAAATTTATATATATATATATATATATATATGTATATATATATATATATATATATATATATGTGTATATATATATATATATATATATGTATATATATATATATGTGTATATATATATATATGTATATATATATATATGTGTATATATATATATATATATATATATGTGTGTATATATATGTGTATATATATATACATATATATATATATATATATATAGATAGATAGATAGATAGATAGATAGATAGATAGATAGATAGATAGATAGATAGATAGATACATATATATATATATATATATATATATATATATATATATACGTATATATATATATATATATATATATCCATATATATATACATATACATATATATATATACATATACATATATATACATACACACTTCTGTTCACTCAGACAGATTCACAGATTTCTGCACCCGAGCCCCTTTGGATTATCACCACCGCCACGCTGGACACTCCGGGGGAAACGACATCTGCTCACTTCCATATTTAATAACGCAAAACAAAACAATATGTTCTCGAGAAACTTTTCATTTTGACTTCGAGCAAACACTGAGCTAAATAGGAACACATAACCTTCCTCAGAGTGCACTGTTCTGCTGTCCAGGCGGCTATTGAAAGTTCCCAAGTGCCCAGAGGCACCCCCTCTGTGACTAAACACCATTTAGCACGGCGAATTTTGACAGGCTCGGGGGCCTTGGAGTTTCAAAGCGTTCCTTTTTACATCTGACTTTTCCGCTGAGTTGTGTAAGGTTTTCTCTGGACTGCTCTCTGTCTCTGTGGAAAGATATTCAACCTGAAACCTGCCCCCGCAGTGACAGCAAAGTTCAGCAAACACCAGTGGAGACGCACGCCTGGCTGCTTCTCGATGGGCAGCCGGTGTGTCGCAGCACTCAAAACAAGAATGGGACCACTACAGGAGGCAGTGGGAAAAGGTTACAAGGAGACCCCATATGCTGCGTCTGTCTTCTGCTCACGACCAGTACAAGGTGGTGATGAAAGGCCACCTGTTAGAAAAGCAGAGTCCAGACAGAACATGAAGCATTCCTCTTTGTTTCTATGTCTTCTTTTGGCCTTCAGTCACACACACATTATTATAATACACAAGGAGGTTAGTCAGCATGAAATGGACAGAAGCTGTGACAGCTTTGCTGAGATGAGCAGTTATTGCATGTTTGACTGCTACTTTTAGAAGGTCTCGTCTCAAACTGGATAACTGGAGGAAAACTGAATCAGTAATGCACCTTAAAGGGGACATGCAGCACCATGACTTTTTTCTTAAAGTGGCAATGTGTACCTAATCTCTGGAAATATCCATCGAAAATGTTGAAAATGTAGGGTTAGGGTCTAAAGTACATTAGGTGCAGGTCTAGCATCTTTGGAGGACGCCACATTAGACACCATGTTTGCTTCTGGCCGGCTCGGGAACCTGCGCTTGTCGATGACATCGCTCTACACGATTGGCTGGATGTACGACTTAACGACGTTACCACGTTCGAAAACATTTAGGCAGTGAGAAACATGAATTTAATTCCAAAACTGCTGAACTATTTACAAAACCTATGTGAAAGAACAGAATAAAAAAATAAACAAAATATGTTTTGGACAAGCGGTATTGTCGTAGTACGATGACATCATCGGCAGGCGCAGGACCCTGAGCAGATCCAGAAACTACAGCGCCAGAAAACTAGCATCAGCATTGCGTTCTCTCGATGGAATTAACTGAAGAACCATCAAAGTCTGAGGAGTCACGCCAAGGTCACATGCTTTCTGCTCCACAGGTAAGGTTTACCGTAATGTTTTTTTTCAAACTAGCGACAGTCAGGAGGAAATGGAGTGAAACTACCCTGAAATGTATGTACTGCCACCTAGCACCAGGAAACTACACACTGCCACTTTAAGTATTAATAGTTATAAGGTTGATAACATGTTCATTAACTTTGTTGCACAAAATCTCTCACATAAATCAAATTCAGCTGTTTTATTCTCAACGGTTTCAGTACCTTCCAGAATGAGCCTTTTCAGGGCTCTGTAAGAACACAAGCTAGAGCTGGCCACACCCACCCCTACCCCAGGCTGCTATAAGCTGAGAAGCTCTGATAGCCTGGGGCGGGCATGGAGTAGAGCTGTTGCTCCTCCTGCAGCAGCTTTCTTTTGCACACGAGAGGTGGTTCTGTGCTATTTTGTGACATCACAAATGGGGTTTATTTGAAACAGCTTGTTTTAGGAACATAATCCTAAAACCAAACAATGACAGAAAAAGGATGGACCGTTGTTTTTGTGTTTAGAGCATTTATAGAAGCACCAGATTTACAAATATGAAAGATCACAATCTGCCAAATATTTATCAACTTTTAGAGCCCAAAATATGAGCTGCTCCTCTCACAGATGGTACTGGTAGGCCTAATGTTTTCATTTATCTCAAAACTTGTTTGTACAAACTTTCAAACCATAAAAACGTGCAGTAAGTTTATGGCTGGCTTTGGAATTTTGCTGGAAGGTTTTATTGAGACTGTTATTTTAGGACTGACCATATTTTTCTAAATAAGATATTAATGTAAGGTATTAGTAGAATTTTGGTAGGGCATATGCTTCACTCCTACTTTGTTTAAAAACTCAAGAGAAAGCCATGAGAATCTTTCACAAAGTCAGTTGTAGAGACCACACTAATAATTTATTGAATTAAATGTTTAGATTTTATTGGACTCCAAATTTAATAGTTTGGCATATTCCTGATTCATCATTTGTAAGAATGTAATCAACGATATTAGCATTAGCATACCTATAGGTTTTTCCATGTATATTAGCATTGTGCTAACCACTCTCTGCCAGTTAAATCACAGCCTTTGCAATTAGAAAATCTCCTTTTGTCACATAGCAATTTAATTGTATATGCAATTAATCGTTCAGCCCTATTAGCTACTGGTAGAAAAGAGACGGTGAAACTCCAGGACTATAAAAACCTGACAGATCTACATCACATTGTCACTTAACATTCATGGACATAACACAAAACTACTCAGACCAATGGTAGACCTGCTGAGGCTCCAATGGAGAGTGGCTGGACCAACCTGCAGAGCTGAATCTTTTTGCTACTGCTACTGTTTGTCTAGATTTCTACGTTGAGATGACTCTTGTTGTGAATTGGCGCTATATTAATGAACTGAACTGAAGAAACGAACAGGTCCTCACAAGATTTTTCTTCTTCCTGCTCCCTTTTTGCGCACGTACAGTAAACAGACGAAGACGTTATCGATGTTGTCTGTTAACTTGAGTGAAATGAACTATTTGATTTATTTAGGCTTTTTTTTCATAATTTTATCACAAACTGCTAGACTAAAACCCTGAATCCTTCAGTTCAATTTGTCACAGCGTTAACAAAAAAAAACATGTTTTTTTCTTTCAAAGTGTTCGGGATAAACATGAACTAAAATGGCATTATTTTAAGTGCTGTTCCATTTGCAATTATTCTCAAACTTTTAAAGGTAAAAATTCAACGCAACTTCCTGCTGCGACACAGAAACAGACTTGATTGTGCAACACAGCAGGTTGTGTGCTGCTAGAAGCTCAGAAGGATTAATCCTGGTGCTCTATTACTTCCACTATTTGTACGTTTTTTTTTTATTTCTTATAATCCAGACTAATGGTCACCATAGGCTGACAGCAGTCTGTCGACATGCAGGCTTGAATCTTCTTATCCTGCAGATTACACCAAACCTGTGTGGGGTTTTTTCTCCTGCAATGTAACGCGTGTCAGTGAATGAAGTCGTGTTTTAAGGAGGGGGGGGCACTACCTGAGGAGCAGATTGCTCCCCTGACTAACAGCGTGACAGACGCTTTGAGTGTCTTGGTGCATGAGTGACAGAAAACTGTCAGGCCTTTTTGTGTGGCTCTGCTGGTGTTTTTCACTTAAGACGCTGCCAGAGAGGGAGGTACCCACCAATGCAGCAGCAGCTGAGTGAAAAAGCACCTAGGAGGCATATTTGAGCTTGTTAGACACATGAAATCTGATCCAGACAGCCCCTGAAAATTTTAATCGAAATGAAAAGCCTGAAACTAGCAGCTGTCTGTTTAAGTGGAACAAATGGAAGTTAGTTTTGTGTGTGTGTGTGTGAGAGAGGGAGAGAGAGAGAGAGAGAGAGAGAGAGAGAGAGAGAGAGAGAGAGAGAGAGAGAGAGAGAGAGAGAGAGAGAGCAAATAAAAGCAGCAAAACAACAACAAAGATGGGGATGTAATGTGACACTATTTGCCAGCAGCTTTTACAAACCGAGCCGCTCCACGGGAAAGCTGTTATTTGCCATTTATACTTTCTGTCAAAGTGCTGCTGATCCCTCATCTTACAGGTCACAATTATATGCCCTCTTTCCTCTCTCCTCCATCCCTTCCTGCAGCCGTCCTCCACTCTAAGCAGCATTTAATTGTAAGGGGCTGAGCTGGAGAAAGGAGTAATCAGATGAGAACAGAGGCAGGAGGCATCACGTGGGTACGCACTCACTATCCGGAGGATTAATAATACTGTCGTCTTGATTGAACTTCAGCCGCTCTCCCTAGTAAATTGGAGGTGGAGAATGGGGAAAGAGGTGAGGAGAGGCGGGGGACAAAACCAGTGGCACAGACAGAGGGGAGGGAAAGAAAAGAGATAAGGGTTACCCAGATAAGAACAGAGAGGAGGTAGAGATACGGAGAGAGAAATAACGGTAGGGAGAGGGAGTTGGAGGAAGAAAGAGTGAGGAAAGGAGGCAGCGCAGTGCAGTTCAGGATGGGAGGGGGGAGAGAGAGAGAGATGTGGAGACAGGAAGCCTCTGCTGCTACTGTGCCAGTGAGACGCAGGCAGGCGGAGAGGGAAGACGGAGCGAGAGGGGCCCCTGGCATCTCCGAGGCTGAACCCACGGAGGGGGATGAGGGGCTCAGGAGCAACAACAACAGAAAGAACAGTGGGAGGAAACGGAGGGAAAAGAGGCAGGGCAATAAAGTCATAAACAGAAACAGGAGGGTGGGTGGAACCAGAGCTGAGGAGGGAAAGAACTGGGAAACAAAGTTTGGCTGGCGTAGCAGAGGAGCAGGGAGATGAGGAAGGAGACTAAACATCAGAGCAGATTAAGCATCTGTTAATGGCAAAGGCAGGGGGGGATTCATGGGAGAAGAAGAGGAAAATCTATTCATCTCAGGAGTTCCTCTTCTGTCTTCTCTTCATTTTCTGAGGCTGCTGGACACCATCCATCACCATGTTCTCTGACAGCCGCACCACGACGCCCGGGGAGCAGAAGAGCTTCAAGCCACACACCCCTCACTTCATCCCGTGGCTGCGCAACAGTCTGAAGGCTCAGCACAGCGGCGGTGACCTGGGAGTCAACGGACCGTACAAATCCAGCTCAGAGGCCCGTAACAACCTGACCCCACTGGAGAGAGCCAAGGGCATCGGTTTCTTCTCCATCCAGGGAAAAGAGCGGGGAAAGAAGGGTGAACTACGATGTAATGGCATTGGGATGCTGCCAGTGATGCTGAGGGGGCATCACATCCTGCCAGGGAGTCTGGGGAAGCAGAAGGACGGGGGTTCTGCCAGGTGGAACAAGACCAAAGAGCTGGACACAGACACACCACGCTCAGAGGAAGGCCTGGGAGACAGCTCGTCCTCCACTCCGAAGAACCACAGTTTTGTAAAGAACCACGGCAACTCCCTGGGCCTCCACCAGCCTCAGAAGGATGGTACCTCAGTCAAGAAGTATGGGCCTTTAGTGGGACCCCCTCCAACTCCTGTCCCCATGCTGGTGGCTGAGAAACCACAGGTGCCTGTGGTGGTGTGTGTGGAGGACGGGGAGGGAAAGGTGTGGGACTACAGCAGTCGCACTACCTACCGTCAGAGAGACCTCCATTCATCCAGCTGGCTGAGCTCAGACACTCAGAGGCTCATAGAGAGGCAGCAAGGCTTCAGCTCCAGCTTCAGCTACATCAATAAACACAGCAAGAACTCGCAGAGCCACAGAGACCTCGGCGAGACCACAGTGGAGGCTTTCAATGGACCCCTGAATGGACTCATCTTCTCCACTGAGATTCCCCACAGGGGCCTGCCATGTACCACAACCCTGAGAGGCCCCAGGAAACCCAGACCCAACTCGGAGCGGATAACGACCCTGGGTCAGAACCAGACATGGGTACAGCACAAACCAAACGCCAAAGAGGAGTCCCCACAGAGGAAGGAAGCAGGATGCACGAGAAGAGTGGTCCGGAACCAGATCAAACGGGTGATGGACAACCTGGAGCAGGTTCTCATCGCTCTGAGGGACATCCAGCAGGAGATGAAAGAGGTAACAACAAAGATTTTGGTGATTTTCCCCCCCGACAGCCATGAATCATCTAATCTCCTTCCAGGACTAAAGAATAATAAACAAATCTGTTGGAGAGAGGAGGGTTTTCCTCTTGTTAATTTAGACGTTTTCCTCATGCAGAAAATGTTCAAGCTCACATTAAAAAAAAACCTTGAGGGCTTGTGCTCTCGCAGATAACGAGACTGACTACAAATGCTCATCCTCAGCAGAATGAAACATGGATGTAAAAAAGTCAGCTGCAGGCTTGCATGAATAGAGCAATTTGCTGCTTCTGTTTCTCTAAGTGTCCTCTGTTGTCCTCAGATGTGGAGACTCGCACAGCACTTGATGTGCAAGTTGTTGTGCGTCTTCACAAAGCTGGGGGAGAGAATAGTTCTGCTTCATTTGCACAGTGCATTCGGAGACTGTTTAGATGGTGCCGTGTGACATTAGGCCATCTTTCCTCCTCTAATGTCCTTTCTCCCCCTTTCCTCTCCTCTCGTGGACAGCTGCTGCTCCAGGCACAGCTGGATGGTGTCTGACGCTGTTTTTATATAATCCATTTATGTCTGAATATCTCTGCCTCGCATTTGGACTCATCCAGTAAAAGTCACACACAATCCTTGCCTCGTGGCGACTGATCTAAATCTGCCCGTTCGCAGCCAAACCAGAGGTAGTAACCTCATCATCCCGGCTGTAAGGTTTTTATGTGACAGCATTAATATAACAGTGATGAAAGTCCATATAAGCTACACCAAAAAGGAGGAGGAGGAAGGTGCTGCAAGGCGAGAGTAATAGGAAATTGTAAATTTTCACGATGGATGTGACAAATCAAAGGAAGATAAGTCACAGTGCAGGTATATATTTCAAGGCTTTGTGTCTTATGAGCAACAAAGAAGAGAAATACAGGGAGCTTTTAAAGCTTCAGTCAAAAATCCCATCAGCTTCTTGCTTTCATGCAGGAGGAGGGAAAACATCAGAAAGCTCTGAATACAACAGCATTCATCTGCTGAAGCAATTTCAACAGGTGGGAAAAAAACCTGCCCTATGACTCAGGGCTTCAAGAGAAAATAAAACCCACCTGAGTGCAGCCAAAAGACTTAAATGAAACTGAAATAGCGGAGCTGAACAACAAACATCTCTCAGCAATCACAAGAAGTGCACGTGTGGACCTGAGGAGCAGAGAGAGAAAAAACCATCCATCCATCCATCCATCCATCTTCATCCGCTTATCCAGAGTTGGGACTTGGGGGCAGTAGCCTAGGGCGAGAGGCCCAGACTTCCCTCTCCCCAGCCACTTGGGCCAGCTCCTCTGGGAGAATCCCAAGGCGTTCCCTGGCGAGGTGAGAGACATAGTCCCTCCACCGTGTCTTGGGTTTACCTTTAGGTCTCCTCCCGGTTGGACGTGCCCGGAAAACCTCACCAGGGAGGCATCCAGGAGGCATCCTGACCAAATGCCCGAGCCACCTCAACTGGCTCCTCTCGATGTGGAGGAGCAGCGGGTCTACTCCGAACCCCTCCCGGATGACCGAGCTATCTCTAAGGGAGATAGGGTGAGCCACTCTTCGGAGAAAACTCATTTCGGCCGCTTGTATCCGCAATCTCGTTCTTTCGGTCGCTACCCAAAGCTCATGACCATAGGTGCATAGGTGAGGGTAGGAACGTAGATCGACCGGTAAATCGAGAGCTTTGCCTTATGACTCAGCTCTCTCTTCACCACGACAGACCAGTACAACGCCCGCATCACTGCAGATGCAGCACCAATCCGCCTATCGATCTCACGCTCCAGTTTTCCCTCACTCGTGAACAAGACCCCGAGAAATTTAAACTCCTCCACTTGGGGCAGGACCTCATCCCTGACCCGGAGAAGGCATCAAGACCATGGTCTCAGATTTAGAAAAAAGAAAACATTGTTTTTTTTTTAATAAACACTCTCTCTCTCTGCAGATGAAAAGCGAGGTCCTCAGCCCTTTTATCTCTTCTGATTCCTGACATTAACAAGCGGTACCTGCCCAGAGTCACTTGATGTGCAGATTCATGCCGCACTTCAAAGTAACATGAAATGCATTGCTCAAAAAGAAGAGGAAAAAAGCTGCAGCATAAAAAAAAAACCAGAAAGACAAACCAGGTCATCCTTTGACATCAGCAAGGATGTTGTTGAACACAGAGGACAAAACTCATCCAGCATGAGCAGAGGATTTATCTGTGCACACAGAGCAGGTGGTGAGCTGGGTCAAACATTTTCCCCAGCGTAATTTTCTCCAATCTCTCTGTCATCGTCCAGCTGTGCGTCTCTGTGTGTCTTAGTATTAAGCATTTATACGTGGAAGTGAGCTGAGCTTGCACTCGTTTCACATGAGGGCATGCAGGTCCCTTTTTTTTATTATTATGTGTTCTTTTTTACCATCCAGAAAAATGCATTAGATGGGAGGTGCGACTAAATATAACCTACACATAGTACTCTCATTCTGTCTGGGCTGATTTAAACTCGTTTGCATTCAGAGGAGTGTTTAAAGATGTGGAAAAAGACCTCTACAATCATTATCCAGAGTTTTATTATTCCTTTAAAGCTGCAGTTGTAAAAATCACTTTGAAATATATTTTAAACATTTTGTTGGCAATAACTCAAACTGAAATAAAACTCCATGGTGGCTCAGGAGAGGTTTAAGTTGCTGACCATGTAAAAAGCAAAGAACCGAGACCAAATTCAGCTACTTTCAGGAATTCTCCCTCTCTATACTTTACATCGCATGCAAAACAGAAAAGATTGCCCGTGCGCTAATTGATGAGACAATCGTGCACAAATGTAGTAGCTATAAAAAATATCTGTTAAGTAAATGATTTTTCCAAGCCAAGGCTCCCGTTTAAGAAGAGATGGTATTAAAAACTTTCTTCAGTGGACTGTAAAATGCTGAGCGTACTCCTTGGTGGGCTCTCCCTGCAGTCTCATGCTGCCTTCCAGTTCTTTAGAATTTGCTGCATTCACGCCTCATTGAAAAAAATACCAGTTTCTCCCTTTCCAAAATTATTTTATCAACAATTTTATGGGTTCTTTTGAGCTTTTAATTGACTAAAATATGACTTAAAGTAACACCCAGCAGTTTCCAGCTCATCTGCCCTACTGGTTGAAAGTGGAATTACAACTGTCAAAAAACAACCTTGCTGTAGCTAGCGCTAACAACAAGCTAACACTAACATGAGCCAACTAATACTAACATAAACCATGAAGTAAAAAGATCCACACTGTTGGACAAATATTATTACTTACAAGTCCAGTAGCAACAAAGCCAGGTCACCATCAGTCTGTGATTTTTGTGGCCTCCTTTAGCTTCCTCAAACTAGTGTAGGCCACGCCGATGCTCACTCTGGTTTTAGCTCTTTGCTTCGCCTCCAAAGACATTACTCTCTTACTTTTACTTCCGGGTCTCGCCATGATTACAAAAGAAAAAGCAAACTTCTTCTTGTTGTGCTTTTTTTTTTTTTTGTTGATCAGCAAACTGAAAAAGTTAACTGCTCGCATAACAGCTAACAGTCGTAAATCAGGTAATGAGCTATGGGGAGCCTATGTGTCCTCCTCTTCCAGTTGGCTCATGGGTCCCGGGACTGTGATTTGGAATGGTAGGATGTCCAAGGAAGGTCCCACCTTTCTCGCCTCTGATTCACTGGAAAGGCTTTCCTACAATTGGCTATTTCATTTAGCAGCAAGCCGTCTTGCCTCACTAACTAAAGATTGTCTCCCTGCCCCAACAGAACAGCTGTTTTGGGGAGTTTTGTAAAGAAAATGCAAACTTAGCACATTAATAACCATTCTGTCTTGTTTTGCAAAGTAGTTTTTTTTTTTGTTTCTTTTCTTTAAAAAAAACCCAGATAAACATAAAATGTGAACTTATATTGAATCTTGTTGCATTCATCACACTGTTGGACTTTATTTTATATCTGTTGACTCTCAAGCATTAAAGAGCAAGTCACCCCCTACCAAAGTATTACTCCACCCCCACTTCCTGTTTAAAAAATGCAACAAATGCTGTTGCCTAGCAGACCGAGAGGGCGGAGTAACTAACAAATACACACACACACACAGGCTCACAACGACATTGTGACATCATATGGTACCAGCTAACGTTCTAGGGTACCTCTTACCCAATAGTGATGGCAGATTTAAATTCAAATGCAGTGCAGAGTTTTCACCTGACAACGGCACAACACTGACAGTTTTAGGCAGAAAATTTAAATTTTAACTAAAATGAGCTAAAGTGCCTTATCTGAGTATGTAATATAATAAAACTGCCCTATTTTGCCCAGACGTGAGCAGCAGATCTGTTTCTCTTCAAGAATAATGAAAACTGGTGAAAAATATGTCAAAATCAAAATCAGCCTTGAATTTGATTTGAATTAAATGATACACATTTAAACAGATGATGAGAGATGTGTTCTACCTTGCAAACAGCCTTAACCGATTAAAGTGAAGACATAAGATAGCCTAGTAATAAGATAACCCCATTGCTTGAAAGCCATTTGATATAGTCAGTTTAATAGTGTGATAAATGCAACAAGATTCATTGCAAGTTCACATCTGACATCTTTCAGGTTGTTTTTTAAAAGAAGCTGAAATGTTGCAAAACAGGACAGGATGGTTTTAATGGCGCAAAGTTCACAGTCGGCACGTCGCATATATGATGTCACCACAGAATCTCATCTCCTCTAGCGTAGCTGCTACTTATTACAAGGCCAGATTTATGGTGGTTCTTTTCTCCCGAGGGTAGGATTTGTAGTTTGCTAAACTGACAGCCATTTTTCCTCTGCTCTTCTTTGTGTCTGATTTGATGACGTAGCTTTGGTGATGTGCATTTGTAGTTCTGGACATATTTTCACACCAAACCTAAAATAACTTTTGCCCCCGTTTGAAAACAAGTGCTTTCTTGGCAACAGAATGTGTCTTTAAAATTCATGGAAGTCATATGGTAAATCTATGGTACATAACAAATGAGATTAGAACACAACTTTTACAGTCACATTGACTTGCATTCATTTTTTCGTTCTTCCTGGGACCCATGGTCTGTAAGTAGATGGGTGTGGCTTAGGCTCTCTATAGAGCACCTACCCGCTCCACAAAGGTGTAAAGTTCAGTATCGGGCCACTAGAATGCTTCAGAATGGTGTCAAACATGAAACGACTCAAGTTCCTAACTCAACAACCACTGAGATCAATGTTAAAGCTCTAGTTTAAAAAACTATCTAGTGTTACGTTAAATTAGGGTCTAGCATTCGATAGTGTGTTAACATCTGGATTGTGTGTTGTAGCTCCAGCCCTGCCCCCCACCATGTCTTTAACCCAGTACCTGTAAAACCAATTAAGTCATGACATTTTTTTTGTGTTGGCATGAAGTAATTCAGCTATGACAGCCATCTTTTGCCTTTCGGCACAGGGGCTTTTCCCCTTGCACATAATGATTTAAAGAGAGAGAGTGCGGGCTGTGACGTCCCGACTTTAAGTGCGATCGATAGTCAGGTCAAAAGGCAGCTCACAGAATCATTTATTAAATTCATTCTGTCTGATAACAAAGGCTGAAGGTAAATTATAGCGATCCCTGAAATCACTGTGACAGTTTTCACTGCAGAAGCTTCCACAAGTAAGACCAGTGTCAGTGGAACAAAGGTGAGTTTTTTTTTACACGAGCAAAGTAAACGACCACCTACTGTTTCCCTCTGCGTCCTTTCATAACCGACTTGGATTAATGCTCATATGAATGACGGTTCTTTACCAGCTCCTCCATCATAATATGGTAGGTCTATGATTCATGAGGCAAAAAACACCATCTCTGGGAGAAAAGTTGTACCTACAGTTTCTTTTTCCATAAATCAGTCGGTCACTTATTGATTCTCAGTGTGCAAAGACCCAAAGTGTCAACAACAGCTCACGAATAAGTCTCATAACATCTCTGGCGTCCTTCATGACCTTTTATCTCCTTTATCCTGGTGTGATGAAATGAAGAAACAAATCAATTTGAAGACGAACAAAAACAGTTTCATCAGTGTGTAGATTTTTTTATTATTGTTATTTTTCAAACCCTGAGGAGATTTTTCTGGCATATTAGTGATTCTATTGATCCGTTTTGGTGTGTGATTTTTTTTCTAGGTGGTGCAGCAGATTGACTATCTAACCTCCTCCATTGATCTGGATGAGGAGGAGCAGCAGGGGACCAGAGGAGATGCTAAGCCTCCCAGCGACACCAGCTACAGTTCAGGCTCCAGCTCCAGTGAGATAGTGGTGGGCAGCCTCCGCCAAAGGCAGCCAGACGCTGACATGCGGCCAGGAGCCGTGGACTCGTGTGGCCCCCCCATCAGAGATCATCACAGCCGAAGCCAGTCTCCACAGAATGCACGGCTGAGCTCGATCACCTCAGGGTTTTTATCAGATGGGAGTCGGAGTCTTCGAAAAACTTGCTGTCCCTCTCGTCGAAAAAGTGACCAACGGCCTAAAATCCACACTTTGTCTCCCCAAAGAAGCCTCCCTGCCCGGCCTCCCACTCCTGGTCTTTCTCCTCTAACAGTAAACCTCCATCACCCCAGCAGTCCTGCTTCCCAGCCTCACTCCCCAGGGGCATCATCCTCCATTAGGACAGGCACCATCTCCCCTCCTTCCCCTCTGTTTCTGAAGCCTTATCCCCCCCCTGCCCTCAGCCCGTCTGTCATCATAGAGACCAAAGTCAGGGCTAATAAGACCACACAAAGCAACGTCCCATCTGCTGGTCTACTGTCACCATCTCGAACTCCCTCCCAGTCTAAAAGCTGCCCACCGACACACTCAGTGACTCAAGCTTCAGCTCTGGACTCCAGGGAGCGGCGAGCATCCTCAGCGGGACCTTCCCGTGTTTGCACCGCCTCTGCCGGGACGGCCAAACCGCCCACAGCACAAGGCCGCAGAAGTCGCAAGCCTCCACCTTACCCCCAGGACAGACTGTCCGAGCCCACAAAGAAGGTGAAGGAGCCCCGCAAAGCTCCTCCGTACCCTGAGAAAAGAAAGCTGCTCTCAACCACGGTGTGAGACAATGCAGCGGCAGGGGGAGGCTGATCGAACCGAGCTACATCCACAGCACCAGCCACATGTCTGCAAGAGAGCGCAGTGATTTAAAGCAATTTAAGGCTCGCCAAGTTGAGCTGAGATCAAGTTTCCAAGGTGACGGAATTCAGACGCAACCTGTGGTGAGTGAGTCTGGAATAACTGCCTGCTTCTGACGTTTTCCCCTTCTCTAGTTTCAAAATCTCCTGGTCAAGCAAAGGCCATGACATCTGTCTGGGTTACCAGGCAGGTAACAAGAGATTTTGTGCAGATGTTGAATTTGCACCCCCTGCACTCTGACTCCCACAGACCGCACAGCAGAAGGCTAAAGAGGCAGGCATTACGAAGCAGAAACCTGAAGGAAACTGCAATTTTCCCAAAATGGCAAGACAAAGAAAGGAGTGATTATTTTTTTGCACTTCAGCCCACGCACCCAGACCCATCCACTCACACGTATTAGCTGTAATTGCTGTCAGACGTCGTGATGATGAGAACTCAGTGCAGCTCGGGCCACTTTGGCTGAGCGGTGTGAAAGCACATGCAGGGGGAGGCAAGGTCAGAGATGTGTGATAGATCTGGAGGCAAGAAAAGCTCTCATGAAAAGGAGAAACTTGGCAAGGCCACAGAAGAACGGAACAGGCTATAGCATCAGAGTAGGTGTCAAAGGAGACAGGGGGCAGCTGGCCACACAGTACCCTTCAACCCGGCCCCCTCGGCGTTACAAAAATCCCATCTCCTTTGCTGCCTCTGGCTCGACCGGCCTGGCAACAATCTCCATCTGTTCCCCTCTAAATGTCAGGAGATGCAACAAGGGAGAGCGAGGGAGAGGAAGAAAGGAGCTGGCGTGTTGGGGGGGAAAGAAAGAGTTTCAGATGCTGGAAACCCAGCCAGATTGATTACATAAAAACAACACAGCAAATCAATGGCGGTTTCATTTAGGTCATCCACTGTTGTGTTATCTAAAATGTTACTTTGGTTTAGGGCTAATTCTTTCTGAAGCTCATTTTACTGAAATAAAGTGGTTGATGCTGCTTTAATCTACACTGCAGCTGGCAATAAATTGTTAGAAATAGCTCATTTCCATCTTGTTAAAATAAAAATAAAAAGGTTTAGCTGTTTCAGATGGGTATGGTGATTTTTTTAGGGGGGAGGTGTTCCTGAAACAAGCTGCTGTTTGCTGTGACTACTTTTAGTTCAGGCTTAATGAGCATTTTGCAGCCCTAGGATGTGGATTTGCCTCTTTATATCATTTAAAAGGCACACATTACATTCAAAACATGACTCCTAATTAGATTAAACAGTAGACAAGTACCTCAGTGAACTGTGAGGCTCTTGAAAACCAGCAATACTGCAGCCACGCTTTTTCCTGCATTGCACAAATTCACAATGGCTGGAAATGAAAATGAAGGAGCCATCGTTCGTCAAAAAGCAAAAAGTGGGTGAAAACGTTTATTTATTATTATTTTTTTCTGTTAGTGAAATATCTTTTAAACAACTGGAAGAAATTTGATGAAATTCTCAGAGAGTAATCACTGGAAATCCATCAACAACCAACTGATGTTTTGCAAACACACAAAAAATGGCTTTGATTCAGTCAATTCCACAGATATTGAGTTAAAGCTTGTAGCATGAGATCTTACATCATGTCAGATTATGTTTGTTTTTGATTAAAACAGCTGAAACTCCATAATTCCCCCAACATAAGACAATCTGAGTTGACAAATCTGACATGAAAGGTGAATGCCTTTGATTTCATAAGAATTTCATCAAAAAGGGAACAATTGTCAGAAGGAACGAACGAACCCTCAAAGGATGAATCTGACGAGCTGAAAGCAGGAAAGCAAAATTATCGCTGTAGTTTTTATTTCTAGAACTGCATCTTGTAAAAAAAAAACCTAAACAAGGAGAGAGAAAAAACTGCGATGATTACGTTGGATCTGAAATAGGTTCAAAGCCTAACGTTGCATCTCAGCTGCAGAGGCATGCATACATCTTCCTGATGGTTTTTGACGTGAGGAGAAGTTGAAAGTAAATATTTCCGTTAGTGTCAGACGGTAAACAGCAGTTGTGTGTGTTCGGGATACACATAACAGCGTGAAGGCAGCTCGGAGCCTCACAAACACACCAGACTGATGGGTAAACAAAGAGCTATTGTGCTGCAGAGACTTATGACTCAATACAACAACTGAATTATAGAAAAAAAGTGACAACATCTTTTCCACAAGGCTGCAAAACCAGAAATCACAGTCTCAGCTTTGCTATCAAGATGCTTTGTTTGTGCAGTATGTCAAGATGTTCCTGTAATCCAGTTTTTCTGCTGAGTTTTTGGGTAAAATTCAGACGTGCAGCCATGAAAAGCACAGGTAAATGCCGAGATTTGGCTTGCGTTGTGGAACTCCTGCCTCAAACAAACTGCTGCTGGTTTGAGGACAATCTAGATTACAGATTTTCCTCTTTGGCTTACCATAATGATGAATAAATCCCTCCTGACTTTATAGCTCTGTAAGCCCACTAAGATCAGCACAGCATAGATTCCCATATGTGCCTCTGGATTTATTAGATCCTCCCTGCAAAAGCTTTCCTTCTCCCCCAGAAATTAAGGAAGAAACAATGAAGGCTTTTTATCTCCTGGAAGCATTTATTCGAGGACAATATATGTTAATTGACTACGCTTACAGAATACATTTTAAAGCAAATTTTTCATTACTCTGGTAGAAAGTGTCTCAGGAAGGCTCGACTGGAAGCTTTGAAGCTGGCTTCCCTTCCTACGCTGCTTTTAAACTAATTCAAATTAGGAATGCATTAGTGGTGCCTCTAAAATTGCTGTTATTCTGAACGGATAAGATGGGCATAAAAATGCGGCGCGCCCTATTCACCGAAGCCCAGCTCTTGACAGCAGCTCAGAATATTTAAAGCCTCAACACAGGCAATCAAAGTCCTCCTCTTTTCATGTTTACCCTTTGACAAGGCTATGGGAGGCTCAATTAGATCGTGACTGATGTAACCCGACAAAAAACACAGGAGTTATCTCCACCGCATTGACAACGTGTCTTTTAATGAAAACACGTTTCATCACCAATCAGATCAACAAGTAGGAAAAAACAGAAATGAGTAACATAACATGTTTTCTTTCTCCAAGGCAGGTCAGGGTGTGATCATTTCCTGTTCTGGCCCCTCAGCGAGTCTGGATGGCGAGAGGGGGGGGGACCGATGAGCCAGCTGAGAATTTCCTCAAATCCAGAGGATCAGCTTGAGAGAGATGAGACACCAAAAGGTACCCCAAGATTTAAATCTGCAGAATCTTCAAATCTGAGCTGGATCCTCGGACACTTGTGTTGTTTGAGTAGGAGATAAAGCAGCAGTAGCATAAGAGGGGAAGGGGTGTGTGTGTGATAATGAAGCACTTCTGAAACCTGCACCATATTCTCACTGATCCCCACATGTGGCATGGAGAGATGAAAGAGACGGGTTCAAGAGGGCCTCAGGAGTATGTGCTGGCATCTCTCTGCCTTGTGTCTGAACATGGCCTCATTTTATAGATTTAACTAAAGTTTATGTTCTTTTATAAACATAATGTGGATAAAAATTACAAAATAAACCATGGATAAGACAAACACTGATCACAAGTGGTGTTTGAAGGGAATCAGATGTGATGCTTAGTTATCCAGGCCAGACAGAGATAAAGGGTAAGGTCAGCTGGGATGTGTTTGTTTCCAACAGCATCACAGATCAGAATGAAACCAGAAACGCGCGCGCACGTGTGTGTGTGTGTGTGTGTGTGTGTGTGTGTGTCTCAATGATATTGCAGATTACTCACTTTCCTTTTAGGATTACAGAAGATGCATAAATCTTCTTGCTAGTTTAAAAGTGTCATCTACACTGAGCACACAACCTCTAAATCAGATATCAGAAGTCAGATACACAAACCTCACATCAGACATGAATTATTTCACAAAAAAACAACTTTCTTTTTTTTATTAGTAACTAAAATCTGGAAGCTTGATCGTGTTGTTTCTTATTTCTGGTAGAAATGACAAAAGAAATAAAACAACTCCTGACTCAGAAGTCAACAGTTTCGGTTGTGACTCAAGAAAGAAATCCATTCTTTGTCGATTGAAAAGCAGAAGCACACAGTTCAAAGGGGTGCTGTGATTGGCTGAAGCCCAAAGACTTCTGGCCAATCACAGTTCATCGTGTCGCGTCTGTCCAATGACGGTCAGTTTGGAAAGCTGAGCACTGAATTTTCCTTCGTTGTGGGTCACTGGAAGTCAGAAAAGAGGGAGAATTACTGCCAAAATACAATAACAACATTAGCTAAACAAAGACCTTCATGTTAAACAGATCCCTGCATACATTATTAAAAGGTGAAAGGAAATCCTTCTCTAACACAAACTCATCTGTAGGAGTGGAAATGTTTCAAACAAGCATTCGGGCTTTCAGTCGTTTTTCTTTATGTCTGACTTTGTGTGGGTGGAACGTTTTACAGGTACTTCAGTGTTTTTACATAAATATTAATGTCAACATCTGGAAGGTCTGAACATGTTCTGGGTTGATAAATGGAGAAAAAAAATGTGGAGAGGTATCGCATTATAGATAAGGCCTAAAAATGCTCCATCAGATCTCAGTTTGATACCAAAATCTATCAAGTTCCTTTAATGAAAACATCTAATACATCATCCAGCAAATAAAGATCATATCAGGTTTTTCTGGCTCCAAAAACATGCATTAGGCTTGTTTTCTTGTAATAAAAGAACATTTTGTTTGACTGAGATTAATTCACTTGTGATGGAAAAGAAATGTAGCACACTAGCATTTTTATACCTCTGAATGCCTAGAACACGCGTGTCTAGTAACAATTAGTTTTATTCTAGCTCCTATCCCCCCTTCATAAATCACATTCACGTTTACACAAACCATCCAATCATCTGGACGATGGCAGCTGCAGCACAAAGTGCAAGCATGAAAACACGCTCGTAAAGACGACGGGGAAACGGATATACAGACCTGGTTTAGGTTTAAAAAGTCTGATGTTGAGGAGAAAAACATCCTCAGTAAAATGTTCTGGGTGACAGTAAAGTCGTACCTGCGTTAACGGTTCGTTAACCTCAACTCCCTTAAACGTCATTTTCCTTTTAACTAGGGATGCACCGATGGATCGGCATTTGATCCCAATCGGCCGATAGCGCCCCTATCGGTTTTGATCGGAGTTTTCAAAATAGATCAAAGCAGAACGATCAGCCGACCATTTTAGATTAGGTTACATTTCCTTTATTCCCAGATTATGTAGTTTGTAGAAAATGTCTGGCCAATCCACGTGATCGGTATTGGTGATCGGTATCGGTGATCAGCATTCTTTGATATCGGTATCGGTGATCGGCAGCAAAAAACCTGATCGGTGCATCCCTACTTTTAACACATGGAAAAACGAGCTTCCAAACGTTAACATCTCCCTCTGCGGTTTCAGTCGATTGTTGCATTTATTTAAAAGCACGAGTCTGAAGTCTGTTGCTGACAAAATAGCAGCAACGCATAATTTTAGCTGCAGTTATTCACAACTGAAGCAACACTTAACTTCTGTGAGCAAAAGAACAACATGAAAAATGGATCCAAAAAGCAGGAAGAAATTTTTGTTTTTACATTTTTCCCTTCAGTTCAGACTATTTAGAATTTTGTGTTTTCATCGCATTTAGCTTGTATTTTATTTTAATTATCTTCATCTTTATTCGTTCAGAGAATTTTTGTGTTGCATAGTTGAAAAAAAAGAATCCTAACTACATGAGTTATTTTAGATGTTTTGTATTTTTTTTTAAGTTTTGAACGTTAAATGTAATTTAAATACTTTGTAGAAGTATTTGTTCTGCTGCAGTTCATCTGAGAATGTCATTTTGACAAGAAGTGAATATATCGCAATATAGATATTGTTATCGCAAGTGCTTCAAAATATACCGTGATATAGATTTTATAGGCCATATCGCCCATTCCTAAACACAATAAATACATTTATTTTTATAAATATGTTATTTATCACAATATATATTCGAAAGCCCTTTCGCACCGAACTGGGCAAAAGAGCTTTCATTCACTCTGCTCCCTCTGCATGGAACAGGCTGCAGGAAAACTGGAAATTAACAGAGTTTATCTCGTTGAATTAATTTTAAACCAGACTGAGAGCCCTTGAGACAGATTCCCTTTGTTAGAGTCATATATATATATATACATATATATATATATATATATATATATATATATATATATATATATATATATATATATATATATATATACATAGACGCCCCGTGAAATGGCGCTGCCTATTGGAGCTGCCGTAGTGGCTGGCCGCCATTTTAGATGGGTCTCCATTCGCCCCCCAGTGCATTCATTTCTACTGAGGAAGGTGCTTGCCCAACTAAAAAAAAAAAACACACATTTTATCAAGCTTCATCACAAAATCAGACACAAGATATGGCATGATAATTAGAATATGAATATAAATATAATTAAACAAAAACTAATTAAAGTTAAATATAAAATTCTACCAGGTAGGCTAGAAAAGTCACTAGTAATCCCACATGATCCGTTTCCAATAGTACGCCGGTTGTTGTAACCGTAGGCTGCACAGAAACGGGCATAGCTGCTCATTCTGTGTCGACTTTGGAGAGTGGGGAGACCCATCCAATATGGCGGCGACACTGTTATGCCCCCCCAGCGCCCAATGGGGCGTGTACGTATTCATGTCTATGGTTGTAACTGCCTTCTGTTATTCTGCACATAACATGTCTGTGTAACAGAAAAAAAATTGTAACTGTAACTTTTGCTGCCTGTTGGCAGTACTCCTATAAAAATTTGGGTTTTAATCTCAATGTGATCTTCCTGGTTAAAAAATATAAAAATAATAATTATATATATATATATAGAGAGATGAGGAGAGAGAGAGGTCATTGTCAAAAGAAGTATGAATCCCCTGGTCTTTGTGGATATTTTTGTTGAGACAGCATCATTTAAATCAATTATTATTAAACGATAATTTTTTTAAATGAACTGAAATAACCAAACTTATTTATCTAAAATGTTTGTGTTTCTTAAGTTTGAGGTAAAGAATAAGGCCGTGCATTGAACAGTCAGTCACAGGCTAAACTCTCCCACGTTACTACCCCAACTTTTTCACACTAATCTGAACGGATGAATGGAGTTTTCTTGGTAAAACAAGTATTGGTGTAGGCGTTTTGTTGCCCAGAGCTGAACTGCTCCCTCCTGTGGAGAGTGGCGCACACGAACATAAAAACAGTTTTCATGTTGGGTCATTGAAAAGGCCTTTTGCATATTGCACCGCGCTTCGATAAGTAATCTATCCCTGGAAATGATGGCTGCAAGTGTTTCCCCGTGATGGGATTATCTTTAAGTCTGTCATCGTTGCTGAGTTGGGAGCCCGTAAGCCTCCGTACTTCAGTGTCTAATCTGCTGAAAATGACAGTTGAAGTAAATTGCTGGTCGGGATGAGTTGTCAAATCCTGCTAATCACGTTCTGGAACTGAAGCCACAGTGGGGCTTTGTGCAGAGGCTGAACAACAACAAATAATGCTGCAGGGACAAATGAAAACCCACTCACAACTGGAGCATATGTTTCGGAGGGAAATCTGCCGGGAACTTGCAACGTGACAATGATGAGGAGGGGAGGGGGATGGGGAGAGGCTGAGATTGATGTGACAAACAGAGGGAGTTGATTGAACACTTGGAGACACAATCAATTTCTCACCTGTTGATTCTCCAACATTAAATTCCTCTGGTTTCAAAGGTACATCACTCTGTCCTCCTGCTGCAGTCTGAGACTGCAGATACAGCCGTGATGAAGAGGAGGAGACGTGAAAAGACAAACAAATACAATATTAATGTTGATGAAAGGCAGAAATGGAGAACAATTGTGTTTTTTTGCAAGAGACCAGGAAAGCAGGAGGATTCAGCAGCAAGGTCAAACAGATGCTGTTGTGAGCAGACGGTGGGAGGACGGCAGGTGTGTTTGTGCATTTTCATCCCACCGTTTAGTGGAGTTATTCTCCGTGTTTGTCTTTTGCTTTCAGGGCACACAGCCAGAACAGGAGCAGGAGGAGGAGGAGGAGGAGGAACATGTGCTCTCACTAATGACGTGAATGTCTGGACTGTCCTTGCTGGGGGAAGGAGGCGTGTCAAGGTGCACGCTGCTTCGCCTCGCAGACGACCACATCTGGCGCGGCAGACCGCGGCAAAGTGACTGAGCTCCGACCAAGTCCAGACATTATTAACCTTCCACAAAACATCATGTGCAAAAAGACAATTCCAAGTCTGACTCCGAAAACAAATAAAAAGTTTTACGTCTCTGGCCTGCGATCAATTGTTAAAGTCGGTACCAGTCGAGCTGCAGCTGAAGCCATCGTCAGAAGGTAAACATGCAGAGAAACCTACGGAGCTTATGACGAGTTTCCATGGAAACATGAAAGCAATGTCAACATTAAAGATGTGATGTAAAGCAAGTAAAATACATGGTTTATTCTGTGTTCAGGGACATTCAGTCTGTTGGGTGATGGTGTGAAATGGAAGCTTTTTACTAAAATACATCCGTTCAAGCTGCAGAAATTCAACAGCAGTAACTTCACTGGCACTTTGTTAGGTAGCAATCCCAATAATACTATTTATTATGCTTCATCAAGTTTTTATAGCTGAGTAATCATTGAAGGCACTAATTAAGTAGAATCTGGTCTGGACTCATCTTTTTAAAAAGTTCATGCTGCTATTGTGAAAGATGATGTTTGAAGTTTTGATCTTTCAAACAGAAAACAAAGACGTCATGCACGCAAGGGATTAAAAACAACATCCTTTTATCTTTTATAAAGGGATTTTTAAACAGGCATGTTAAGGATCGTCAGATGAGTCCTTTTTAAAAGCTGCTGTAAAAAGAAAACTACTTCTAGTTCAATCCAATGAAAAAGTAGCGGTTTAAAAACAGAATGATGAAGCTGGAGAGGCAGTATCATGGTTTGGACCCATTCTGCTGTGTCAAGGTCTGAATGGGTTAAAGACACCGAGTGTAGACTTTTACACGCAACAATTTCAAAACGCACCCTAATTTAACCCTTTAAATTCGGACCGTTTCGCTGCCGCGAGAGCGGGGAAGGGGGTATTAGTTGCACGCAGGATGTTTCGATTCCATGCTTCTCCCGTGAGAGCGGGGAGCGGGGGTTGATTTCGTAGCCGAGGCGCAGCACCATGCCTGAGCCGATGTAGGGGAAGCAATGCTAAATACGTTTTACAGAGAAAAGATAATCCATGACAATCTGCAGAAGAGAAAATCAGCCTTGAATTTCCTCCCTGAACCTGACACGTTGGCGCCCCACTGGTGATTTGCAGATTATGCAAAGAATATATATTTTCATCAGGATCTTTTGCCTTCGTTTTCTAACATTAGAGCAGATAGTCTGGCTTTCATCCCAGCCATGACAGGACAATATAATGAAAACATGACAGAATTTATGTAATACATCAGTATTTTGCCTGCGACTGAGAGGGTTTGTGGTGCTTGGAGCAGAAGCAGGTTGGCTCCCGCTTACAGCTCTGAGGTCTTCATTTTTATAAGATCAGTTAAATATTTTCTAGGTTGCTTTTAAAAATGACCAGGAGGTCATTGTCCATCAAGCCCTGTTGGATGAAGATGTTTTAATTTCTATATTAGATGGCTGGATGCCATTATTGATTTTATTATATTTAACTCTGCAGCAGAAAAAACATCTATCAATAAGATCTCCTGCTGGCTCAGGAGCTGACCATGCCTGCTGAGGACCAGGATCAACTAAATTCATGTAAAAAGGTCTGCAAAAAGAAGACAGTTGGCATTTTGTGATACTTACGTATGCGTTTGCATATTCGATTTTGGTCCCCTTCAGCTCAGCTTTGAACTGAGTGAAAAACAGGTATGATTTCCCCTGAGGTCTGCAAGAGACAAAACCCAAAATATTAATCAGCATTAATCCATTTGCATTCATTTATTGACTTAAAATAATTAGCATGATTGAGTCAATTAAAACCACAGTGTTAAAAGTGTTTTCTTCGTCACAAGTGAAAAAAAAAAAACGTGCGTGAACGGAGACACCGATGGGACACGTGTGTGATGAGAACACTGAGGGCGCCACAGACAGCTTGGTTTGGAAATATGGAGGCAAGTGTTACTAATGTTTTAAGGACTTGCATCATTCTGGAGAATGAATATTTAGAGTCCAGAAAACGAGCCCTCTGAGGTCATGGATCATGTGTGACTCACCTCCACACTGAGCAAGAAAACAGCCTGTCATCGTCACTCAGACCCACACTCATCAGCCATTGCTGTTTAAAAAATGAAACAGAAGTCAGGAAAAAACCTGCTGTGATCAATGAGCAGTAGAGTTAGTTATGTTGGGAGCACTATCTGGCAAAACGTACCTCATTGGTGCCCCCTTGTGACGCATATGTGAAGGTGCACTCATACTCCCTCTGAAACAAGAAACAGCATGCATTACAGCACAGACAGAGCATTTAAACAAGCCTTCTCTTTGATAAAAACAGACCCGTCTCAATGTTGTTGTCCCAGAGAAATTATATTTTTTCCTTATTTTCATTAGAGTGCATCTTCTATAAATATAACCTCCAGATCACACATTTGCTCTGATGATCCTTGCCAGTATTTGAAGTACTATTCCTGCTACCTTCAGAGCCAACATTCTTTTTTATCCCCATTTCAGCATTCATTTATTTTATTTTAACATTGTGCAGCAGAATGCTTTCATGTCACCTTATTCTCCCCTAAACAGAAATTAAATACTATTTTGTCCCGGATGGCAATTCAAGGTAAATGATAAATAGTCCGTATAGCGCTTTTCTGAGTCAGAGGACTCCAATGCACTTTACACTACAGTCAGTAATTCACCTATTCACACACACACACACACACACACACACACACACACACACACACACACACACACACACACACACACACACACAGAGAGAGAGATGGTGGTGATCTACACTGTAGCCACAACTGCCCTGGGGTGCACTGACAGAAGCAGCAGGATGAGCCTATGACCGTACGTACATGTAATCACACAAAGAAGACACGCAAGAGAAAAAAAAAGCTTAAACTGAAAGGATGCACAATCTTCTACACCATCATGGTTTTCATTTGAAGATGTGATGCCAACTAGAACACACCTAAGAGTCCAAAGGTCCAAAATAAATGCCTGATGTTTGATGAGATATATAACATCTTTATACAGGCTTCACGAGAATCCATGATTGTCCGGATTATTTTTGTCATTTGTTTAAATGAAAAAATACTCATCTAATTTTATTAGTTTAAAATAAGTGTTTAATATCTAAATAATTTAACAATTACTTGATTATACTCTATAGGTGTCCTCCTGTTGACAGAATATTGTTAGTTTTGTCTAGTCTTGGTCATCACGCGTTACTCTTTTGTCATTAATTTTGGAATGAAATTGAACTAATCAGGAAATGTTTGGGGCGCTATTAAAAAGTGTTTCACGTGTGCGTACATGTAAACTAAAGCAAACAAAAACTAGTTTAAATGGGAAAATGTTGTATTTTGTTTTTTTCGCAAGCACAGAAAGGAAGTATACTTTGTTATAAATTTGTTAATTATTCTAGCTAAATTCTATCTCCACAAATGCAAATATAGTAACCAAAACCCTAATTTCAAGCACTATTATAGTGACACTCTATCATACATAAAATTGATTAGTGGATCACTAAACAAAAAAGCTTTAAAAACTATAACTATTTGCACCACCTATAATTCATTTGGATGTGTGTAACATTTCTGTAGTGCACCCCCTGGCATATGTTTCATTTTCTTTGTTCAATTTTGTATACAATTTGTTTGTATACTTATCATCTTGTTCTATAAAGTTTTGAAGAAAAAAAAGACAAAAACTAGTTCAGTCACGCAGCTCTCATCCAATCAATGGGTCCGTTGTGGCATTTCAGCAACGACGTGTCAGCAGTTTACAGGCTATGTCGTCATCAAACCGCGACGACCACTGGCAAATGGAATGTAGTTTTTCTACTTTTTATTATTAAAATTTTAACATTTTAAGACAAATATTCAAACTATTTCGTCTACCTACTATTTTAAATATTTGGTCTTTCAATGTCAAGCTAAATAATTATCAACAAAGCAAAACGAACAAAAAAGCAACGATTATTTTTTTTCTCATTCAAAGCCAGAAGACTAGAAGAACTTCAATTTTAACTTAACTGCTGGTTTTAGCAGGGGTTATAGTCTTTATCGGAACTTATGTCGATTTAAAGACATAGGTCGAATACAGACAAAAGCTTAAATTAGCGACTTACAATCCGCTCGGTGAAAGAATGTACAACTCCTCCAGGTGTCACGTTAAACTCCACTGTTTTTGTGTTTTCGGGCGAAGCTTCAGTCAGGACACACACAGAAACCAGCGCACATAAAAGCAGAAAGGACATGTTCGCCACGGGAAAGTTCCTCTGGGTAGCCATCTCTGTTTAGTCTCTGGTGTTGCTGAGAACGGCAGCCCCAGTCACAAGTGTTTCGTCGACTGTTAATGTCGTCAGCTCCTCCTGCGCCAAACATCAAACCCAAAAAACAACAACAATGCTTTATAAAAAAACAGAATTACATTTCCTTTCTCGGAAAAAAAAATGAGTGTGTTTGATCATGTATTTTTTTTATTGACTTAAACATTTCATTGGGACATTTCTGTTCTACCACACGATGGCGCCCTTGTTAAATCAACGTCACAGTTGCATTTCAAGTAAATAAAGTAGAGGAGTATAATATTCTTCTAAATTTGGATTTGTATTAAAGTTAAACCAGAGTGACAGTTTTAAAAAGGGTGGCTTGCCAACTCCGGGTCGGGAGAGAGGTCCTACCTCAAGTGGAGGAGTTTAAGTACCTCGGAGTCTTGTTCACGAGTGAGGGTAGGAGGGATCGGGAGATCGACAGGCGGATTGGTTCAGCGTCTGCAGTGATGCGGACGCTGAGCCGATCTGTCGTGGTGAAGAGGAAGCTGAGCCAGAAAGCCAGGCTCTCGATTTACCGGTCGATCTACGTCCCAATCCTCACCTATGGTCATGAGCTTTGGGTAATGACCGAAAGAACGAGATTGCGGATACAAGCGGCCGAATTGAGTTTCCTCTGTAGGGTGGCCGGGCTCAGCCTTAGAGATAGGGTGAGGAGCTTGGACATTCGGGAGGGACTCGGAGTAGAACCGCTGCTCCTCCGGATCGAAAGGAGTCAGTTGAGGTGGTTTGGGCATCTGGTCAGGATGCCTCCTGGACGCCTCCCTGGGGAGGTGTTTCGGGCATGTCCTGCCGGCAGGAGACCCCCGGGTCGACCCAGGACACGTTGGAGAGGTTACATCTCCAATCTGGTCCGGGAACGCCTTGGGGTCCTGCCAGAGGAGCTGGTGGAGATGGCGGGGGAGAGGACGGTCTGGAGCTCCCTAGTTGGGATGCTGCCCCCACGACCCGGATAAGTGGAGGAAGACGACGACGAAAGAAAATAACCATTACAGATTTATTTGCCCATCTCAATCAGTTACCACCTTTCCAATTGATGATAATCCTCTTCTATATCTAAATGCATTACTTTATATGTGTGTTTGTTTAACATTTGTGTCATTTTTCCAATTGCTGGTGTTTTCCTTGATTCTTCTTGTGTATGTCTTTTGCCACTTGTAACGTAGGCAAATCGATTATTTTTATTTGTTATGACCAGGAAGATGTAATATTCTGTATAAATATTAAATATCAACCTGCTAGGTCATTGTTGTAATTATTCAGAAGATTATTTATTGTAATTATCAGAAGACTCTAGGTTTTAATTCAGAAGATCTAGGTTCTTTGCTTTTTCAGTGATCAACCACACTTTGTGTTACTTCAAGAAAGAGTCAGTGTGAGTGGATGTAACTAAACGTGTTGAAGGAACCTATGTGTGAATGCGATGTCAGTCAGAGCTTCCTTATCAAAGTAAGCTGAGTTCTGGTGAAAAGAATTTGGTTTGCTCTAAGCTATAAAGTTGTTATCATCAGAAGCACATCAGACTCAATCTGTCATGTCTACTTCACCGGTTTTTGAGAGACCCTCTTGGTGGATCCGAAAGTCGCAGGGGTCGGCTGACCTTTGGCACTGGAGAGCTGTAGAATACCGTGGTACCGACTCTTCAGTCCAGAGATGTCTCGGGTCACAATAGCTGGATGGAACCGTGCGTCTGGCGGACTCTTAAGGAGTCTAACAATATCAGCTTTGTTTCTGCAGGAACTGTTTGCTCATCAGCTTTGCATGTGCAAAAAGGTTTTGGCGACGTGTCAAAATCTTTGATGGTTAAAGAGGCTTTGCTACAGAAGGCCGGTCTGAGCGATTCTCTAGAACTGTCAAATCACTCAGGATGATCCAGTTTTAAGGTTTTGATGTTATGACTTGCACAGCCAGTCAGAGGCTGACAAGTTTGAGAGATGTTACCAAGACAACTCAGAAACACGCCTTCTTGATACAGGATGTTCTGACTGGTTTAAAAGTCTCTATGTGTTGGAGTTTAACTTAACCATACTTGTTGTTGTGTGAGTGCAGGTGTGAGGACCTCATCATCTAAACATGTTGAGCACATGGCAGGTTCTAGTAGACATAAACATAGCATAACCTCCATTCAGTGAGCACAGATTAATGAAGCATTTCATTATACTATAATTATTATAAGTAGTAATAAAAAAATGTTTATTTAATGATTATCTATATTATAAGTCGTGGAAGAAGTTCATATTGATTTAAGAAATCATTCTTGAATTTAGCAATTGATTCAAGCTGGAGTTCTTCCTTCTGTGGAGGCAGCCAGATGGGACCTTGGGAAAGAAAGTTATTGTTTATCTTTCAGACTTGTAGAGTCTGTGAGTCCTAGCTGTATGAAGGCAGGCTCATTTAAAGGGAACACATGCAGTGTTATGTCTCCTTTCTGACCAGATGTGTTGGAAGGTCAGAATGTACCTAAACTGACCATTTCTGTCACACTTTTGTGACATTTAGTGCATGCCTTCCCTGTTCCTGTCACTTTTGTTAGGGTTGCTTATTTTGTAATTTCTGCAAATTTACATCGTGATTGTTTTTTTTTAATGCATTTCAAATCTTGGTCTTCAATCAGCCAAAAAGAGCACACGTCACCCCTCTGTTCATTGAGCTCCACTGGCTACCGCTAGCTGCACGCATCAAATTTAAATTGCTAACGCTAGCATACAAAGTCCGAGATGGTACGGCTCCATCCACCTGAATCCTCTTGCAAAGGCTTACGTCTCGGCCCGGCCGCTCCGGTCATCACAGGATCGTCGGCTAGCAGTGCGTACACCACGCTCAGGACAATCCAGACTCTTCTCATGCATCGTTCCACAAATGTGGAATGATGTTCCAAGCACTACAAGAACAGGGGCTTCCTTTTCAATTTTCAAGAAACTCCTGAAGACCCTGCTCTTCAGAGAGCATCTTCTTAACTAGCACCCTCCCTGCATCCGTCCCCCTCTCTACCGTCCACTCCTTTGTTCCCTCCTCTCCATGGCTGATGTCAAGTTGTTGTTGTTGTTATTGTTGTTGTTAGCCTCAAGGGCAACATGCCGATTATCACTTGTAAGTCGCTTTGGACAAAAGTGTCTGCTAAATACATAAACATAAACATAAATCTTGCCTTGCATCTACTTTACATGTTCATGTAATCTGGCTTCCTTTGATCATTTGGGCTCCTTGTCTGTGTCCCTTACAGTATAGTTCTGGAATCCAGGTTCTTCATTTTTTATTTGTGGATTTTATTAGTCGAAGGTTAAAATAATAGCTTACTGCCCATGTGTTGTATATGTACCCTTGTTATTATTTTTCTTCAAATGTTTGGTTGGTGCTGCTGTAACAAGTGAGGTTCACCACTGTGGGATCAATACGTTCTATTCTATTCTATTCTAATCAGCAGGTGATTAAAAGGCTTCTACAGAGCCAGGTTAACCACTGAACATGTGAATCAAATATTTTGGAGCAGGGAAACAACTCAAATGTGTTGGATTCCGGCTCCTGGTCTATATATCAGGCAAACCTTTCCATGATTGGGTATCTAATTGGACCAATTCTAAGCTAATCTTGTTGTATTTGTGCTTTACTTTGTTTATTTTGTGCTGCACTGAGTCTTGGTCAAATTATTAGAGTTTTACAGTTTTATATCTGCTGCTGTTTAATTCTTTCCCTGAGAAGAAGTTGAGAAATAAAACATGTTGGGATGTTGGAAGAGTCATATGGGTGTCTGTTTGGATATAGTCCAGGATGTTTGTCCAGGAATTTCACATTCAGGTGTAAAGCTGAGAGGGCAGAGCTCATCTTCTCAAAATGATGGGCCTCATTAACACTGATGCTTATAAGGTCCCACTCTGTAATTCATCACTGCAAGGAATTTGACACTGGCTGCTTTGTGGTTGTAAATAAAACAAAAGCTGCCTTCACACACAACAAAACACCCTTAAAAGTATTTCACTGTTGTCAAATCACATATATGTGCTCTCATTTAGTTGTTTAAAACCCTAATTCATTAGTATGACTTGAGAATTTCTTTTCACAGTGTGAATATGTGAATGACTGTTGCATTGTAAAGTGCCTTGGGGGGGATATAGGAATCTAAAGGTGCTATATACAGGCGAGCACCATCACGATTAGAATCTTGCTGAAGTATCCAAAATATACAGGTGAAGCTTGAAACATACTTAGGAACCCTTTGCAGGCGTGTTGGATTCGTTAGCTGATCAGTGTGACACTTTCAGTCTAGATTATTGAACCTTTTCACAATATTCTAATCGTCTGACATTTTGAATGTGGGGTTTTCGTCAGCTGTAAGCAGTAATCATCACAATTATTACAAATAAAGGCTTGAAATATCTGGCTTTGCATGGAATGAGTCTGTCTCACATATTAGTTTCACTTTTTAAGTCAAATTTGTGAAAACAAGTGAACTTTTGCACAGGTCTCTAACTTTTTAAGATCCACATGTAAATACAGGCCATTGTCCATTTACCAGTTTTTTAATACAATTCAGTTGGACAAAGTAAGTTTCTGATCACTCTGAGAATCGATTCCTCCCACAACCATCAGTCTGTATCACATAAAAAAAATAGTTTTTGGTCTGAATGTGTGTGTTTATGTCAAAAATGATAAAATAAAATGGTCCTGACGGGTTTCTCATTATATAAGATGAAATTCAGAAACTACAGAGATCAAACTTGTACAAATACAAAAATTATTCTTCCTCTTCTTCTCTGAAAATAACGGGGAACAATCTGTCCTAAAATTTCTCCAACACTCACAGTTCAGCCTGAAATACACATGCCATGTTTCTGTTACAGATGTTGTTTGTCCAGAACATCTGTCCTACAGGAGACACCAAGCTTCCTGCATGTCTGCATGTTAACGGCCCTGGAGCCCACAAAGAATCCTCCAAGTCATAGAGTAACACATGTTTGGTACGAAAACATTAACATTAAGATTGTCTGGCACTCGTGTGCTAAAACCATAAAACATTGTGAGCATTTAGAGCAAAATT